GAGTGCGAGGGCCCCCCCCGATGCCACCCGGGAGCCCTTTCCGAAGCGCTGCGCTGCGCCGGGTGACTGGGCGACGCTGCTGGCCAAAAAGGGGGCGCATGCGTTGCGGCAGCAACGTTGTCATCGTCATTGTCGAGGGCCCCGCCAAGACCGAGTGGGTCTTCCTCTTCTCCTCCGAAATTGCTGGGGTTGGCACCCCACGGATCATCGAGGTTGCCGTCGCATTCTGGCCCAAGTGGGCTTCGCTAGTGAGGCGGGTTACCCAGCGAGCCCGGTGTCTCATCCCCCCCGACGAGGGGGGGAAGACCGCAAGTCTTTCTTGAACACCATCCCGAGGCCCATGAAAGGGAGGGGGGGACGGACGGAGGGAGGGTCCTTCTCCTCCGATCTCCTCTACCTGCTCTTTCTCCTTTTCCTCCTCCTCCTCCTCCTCCTCCTTCTCCTCCTTCTCGCCAATTAGACAGTATGAATGCTACTCTCCTCTCTCCCCTGGTGGCGTCCAGGAAATGTCGGGCCCCCTCCACGCACTGTTTTTTTGCACAGGATTTCCGGGAGTTGGGTTTTCGCTTGGTTTTTGTTTCAAAATGCTGCTCTCGCTGAAGCGTTGGCCTCATTTTCGGGCTACCGCTCATTCCGGATCGGCTCCCGCTGCAGCGCTGGCGTCATTATTTCCAGCGCCATGGTTTTCAGTCCTTCCAAATAAGCCCCAACATCTAGAAAATGCCCCTCCCGAAAAAACCATCGGAAACGATTCCACATTCGGTGTCGATTCGTTGATTTTTTTGGCCGCAGAAGCCCCCCACCCCCCAAATTAGGCGCCAAAATCTAGAAACTGCCCCCCGAAACAACCATCGGAAGTGATTCCACATTCGGTGTCGATTCGTTGGGCCGCAGAAACCCCCACTTTGGGGCGTCGCTACGGCATGCTATGTCAGGCTACGCGTCCTCATTTCAGCGTTTCCGCGCTAGTTTTTTTTGCCGAACTGTTGCTCTCGCTGAAGCGCTGGCTTCATTCTTGGGCTACCGCTCGTTCCGAATCGTGCTCCCGCTGCAGCGTTGGCCTAATTTCCGCGCTTCCGCTCGTTCCGAACCGTGCTCCTGCTGCAGCGCTGGCGTCATTATTTCCAGCGCCATTCCACGGCATGGTTTTCAGTTCTTCCAAACATATCCAAAATCTAGAACATGCTCCCCCGACAAAAACCATCGGAAGCGATTCCACATTCGGTGTAGATTCGTTGATTTTTTGGGCCGCAGAAGCCCCCCTCACTTTGGGTTGTCGCCACGTCATGATATGTCGTGCCACGTGTTGATCTTCAACACCATGCTATGCCATGTAATGCGATGGCATGTTGCGATATCCGATTGTGCCGAATGGAGAGGATATCTATGCCATGGTAAGGGATGGGAGGGAGGGGTAGGACGTCAGCTATGACCCGAGCGCCCCTAGCTTGTCCTCCTCCCCCTCCTCCTCCTCCTCCCCTCCTCGAGGGTGATGAGGAGGGGGAGGAGGGAGGAGGGAGGCGAAAGCAGGGAGGAGGGAGGAGGGAGGAGGGAGGAGGAGGGAGGAGGAGGAGGAGGGAGGAGCAGGAGGGAGGGCTGTGACTCCTCCTCCTCCTCCTCCTCCTCCTCCTCCTCCTCCTCCTCCTCCTCGAGCTTCGAATCTCGAGCTGTTTCCTTCGCCCGTCGCCGCTCGAGGGCCCGCGCCCCGCCAGGGCCGCGCCCCCCGCCCGCCCCCCCCCCCTTCTGGCGCGATGGCCGCGGCCGCCGCCGGCGGAGCGGCACCGAAGGAGGACGAGGCTCCTCCTCGCTCCTCCTCGCTCCTCGCTCCTCCTCGCTCCTGCTCATCGCTCCTCCTCGCTCCTCCTCCTCGCTCCTCCTCCTCGCTCCTCCTCGCTCCTCGCTCCTCCACGCTCCTCGCTCCTCCTCTTCTCCTCCTCGCTCCTCGCTCTCCTCCTCCTCCTCGCTCCTCCTCCTCGCGCCTCCTCGCTCCTCCTCGCTCCTCTCGCTCCTCCTCGCTCCTCCTCGCCTCCTCCCTCCTCCTCCTCCTCCTCTCCTCTCCTCCTCCTCACTCCTCCTCCCGCTCCCTCCTCGCTGCTCCTCGCTCCTCCTCGCTCCTCGCTCACTCTCCTCCTTCTCCTCCTCGCTCCTCGCTCCTCCTCCTCCTTCTCCCTCTCCTCCTCGCTACTTCTCCTCCACGCTCCTGCTCCTCTCTCCCTCCTCCTCTCTCCTCCTGCTCCTCCTTCTCGCTCCTCCTCGCTCCTCGCTCCTCCTCGCTCCTCCTCCGCCCTCCTCCCTTCCTCCCCTGCTCCTCCTCCTCCCCCCCTCCTGCTCCTCACTCCTCTCTTCGCTCCTATCTTCCTCCTCCTCCTCCTCCTCCTCCTCTTCGCTCCTGCTCCTCCTCCTCCTCCTCGCTTTTCCTCCTCCTCCTCCTCCTCGCTCCTGCTCCTCCTCCTCTTCGCTCCTGCTCCTCCTCCTCCGCCTCCTCGCTCCTCCTCGCTCCTCGCTCCTCCTCGCTCCTCCTCCGCCCTCCTCCCTCTTCCCCCTGCTCCTCGTCCTCCTGCTCCTCCTCCTCTTCGCTCCTGCTCCTCCTCATCCCTTTCGCTCCTCCTCCTCCTCCTTCTCCTCCTCGTCCTCCTCTTCTCCCCCTCCTGCTCCTGTCGGGGGAAACCTCTGTCGCATGCGCGAGATTTGCCAGCTTGCCAAGGCGTTGACTGTCCATTGGTCTTTGATGGGGGCTTCAAGAGTGCCCCCACGAAGATATTGCTGAATCTGGATGTCTCTAGCTCGCCAGTTCCGCCCCCGATCGTGCCTAGCAATGTTAACTTTACTTGCACTCGTGGAGAGACGATGACTGGCTACCTCGTCTGCTCCAGAGGTCTGTGTCTGGAAGCGTAGTCGTCGTCGGTGTCAGCGGCGTCGGCGGCGGCGTTGGCGTCGGCGGTGTCGTCCGGCTCGTCCGCGCGTCTCTCTTTGCGCTTTGTGCCTTCCATCTCCCGTTTCCTCGTCTTGCGTCGCTCCCTCCCCGTCCTGCTTCCTCCTCCTCATCCTCCTCCTCCCTCCTCCTCCTCCTCCTCCTCCTCCTCCTGCTACCTCCTCCTCCTCCTCCTCCTCCTCCTCCTCCTCCTCCTCCTCCTCCTCCAGCCCTGCTCCCTCGCCCCTTCCCCCCTTCCCCCCCGTGGGAAAGGGCCTTCCCCGTCGAGGACGATGCCTCCCCTCCCCCCTCCCCCCCTCCCCTCTCTCTCCCGGTCGCCACGGGCCGCGGAGGCTCCCCGAAGGAGGGACCCCAGGGGGCCTGCCCGCAGGGTCCTCCCTCCCTCCCTCCCTCCGCCCCCCCCCTCCGTTCTCCCCCCGATCCCCTCCCCCCCTCCGTTCTCCCTTCCCTCCCTCCCTCCCTCCGCCCGCCCCCCCCCCCCCTCCGTTCTCCCCCCGATTCCCTCCCCCTCCGTCCCCTTCCTCGTCCTCTTCCTCCCTCCCTCCCTCCTCGTCCCCCCCCCCCCTCTCGCCTCGGAAGAGCGGCCCGAGGCGTCGCTGTCGCCGGCCCAGGCGTCCTGGTGCTCGGGCGATGGCCGCTCGAAGCGCAGCGAGAGGCTCATGCGGACGCTGTCCACCGCGACCCTCTCGGAGAGCCCGCGCCGCGGAAGCCGAGCCTGGGGCGGAGGCGAGGGGGCGATTGGGAGGAGGAGGAGGAGAAGGAGGAGGAGGAGGAGGAGGAGGAGGAGGAGGAGGCAGGAGGAGGAGGAGGAGGCGGAGGCGGAGGATGAGGAGGATGAGGATGTGGGTGAGGATGAGGATGAGGATGAGGGTGAGGATGATGATGATGATGATGATGATGATGATGATGATGATGATGATGATGATGATGATGATGGTTGTGGTGGTGGTGGTGATGACGACGACGATGATGATGATACTGACGATGATGATGATGATGATGATGATGATGATGATGATGATGATGATGCTGATGATGTGCTGCTGATGATTATGACGATGAGGAGGAGTAGGAGGAGACAGGAGTGATGTTGTTGATGATGCTGATCATGACGATGTTGAGAAGGAGGAGTAGGAGGAGGAGACACGAGGTTCGTCGATGACGATGACGATGCTGACGATGATGATGCTGATGCTGATGATGATGCTGCTGGTGATGATGATGATGATGCTGATGCTGACGATGATGATGATGACGATGATGATGATGATGACGATGATGCTGATAGTGATGATGATTTTGATGATGATAATGAGGGAGCTATCTATGATGATGCTGATGTTGATGTTGATGTTGTTGATGATGGTGATGATGGCGATGATGATGATGTGATGATGATGAGGCGGACGAGACAGGAGGGATGATGATGATGATGCTGATGATGATGATGATGATGATGATGATGATGATGATGATGATGATGATGATGATCATGAGGATGATGATGATGATGATGATGATGATGATGATGATGCTGATGATGATGATGATGATGATGATGATGATGATGATGATGATGATGATGATGATGATGATGATGATGATGATGATGCTGATGATGATGATGATGATGAGATGATGATGATGATGATGATGATGATGATGATGATGATGATGTGCTGATGATGCTGATGATGAGGA